CATCATTGTGGTTGGGAAATCATTTGAGGACCATAAAAAGAACAACTGGAAGGAAGACCGTAGACTGCTACTTCTATAGGACGTCACAATGCAAGTTTGGATCTCTATGCAAATATCGCCATGGAGCTGAGGACCATTTTCGGGACGAAAATGTTTTAAGACGGGGGCAATGTAGCGAGTACCGCCCTGGATATCGGAGTGATGACTCATCGCCGATTAGTCATTGCCGGTGAGTCATCGCCGGTGACTCAGCGCTCGAATAATCGAGAGTGTGGAGCTCGCTGGAATGTTCCAGAAGACCTTGGCGCTGGATATATAAGAAACGGAGCAACACAGAGCAGTCAGTGATGATTTGGTACTCGCGGCGAAATAAATAAATATAAGTGCAAATAAATAGACTCTTGAACAATAGTGATATATAAATAATTAGTAGTTAAGTGTTTAGTTAGTTTTATAGTGTTTTAAGTGTAGTTAAGTTATTAAATAAATAGTTTAGTTCGTTAATTAACCAGTGCGTGTTTTAATTCACACTACGAACAGTTAAAAACGTTACAATATATATATATATATATATATATATATATATATATATATATATATATATATTAGAATATATTACTGTTTTTTTAGAATGCGATGATATTTTATTTATTTGTTATTAAATATAATTTTTTAAACTTTTTTGTTAATTTTATCTTCCCCTTAATGCTACAACTGGATAACTCGAAATTTTACGAATCCAGTTCTACTAAATACTTACATACCAATATTTTATTTACAAATGTGTTTTTTCAGATATCCAATTGTCAATGGGACGATATTATTTAAGTCGTTTTTTTTAGAAATTGTACCTAATTAATAGGCACTAAAAAGTAGGTAACTATGAGGGGCGGCAAAAATATTTTTGCACGGGGTACCAAAATGTCTGGAGCCGGGCCTGCATAGTGGTGAAGAAATTAAACAAAAATGTGGATTATGTGCACATGCACTGTGCACATGTATATTTGCATGTAAAACTTACTTTTAAAATTCCCAAAAATAACAAAGTTTTGGATTTGAAATGTTTTAGTTTTTTTTAATATTTTGAAAACCGCTGGATTTTCTTTCAATTTAAAAATTTCATATTAATAGGCTTGTAATTGCACGACTTATCACTAACCGACATTGAAGCTTTTCAAATAAAATAAAAATACCTATATATTTATATAGGTATAATATTATATATAATTTAATAATAATTTATAATTTAAATTAATATTTATAAAATAACCTTTATAGCTTGGTATGGAGTGTGCCAAATTACAAATATGCTTAGAGTTGTCAGTTTCCAATTTTTTTTTAGGAAAAATTTAATAATTTAGAAAGAAATGTGTTTAACGAGTCGTTATTAATAATGACGTTAAATTTATTATTTTTTTAGCAACTTTATTATAGTTCCTTTGTTCAACCCAAACCACCAATCTACTTATTTTAAGTAGCCAAAATCATTATTTTACTTTTTACATTAAATTAAGTTACACTCGCAAACAAAATTATCTATATGAAGTGTCGTGAATTTATCTTGACACTAAATTGGCAAAGGTGTTAAAATAAACACAACTGTTTATAGCGCCATGTCAAGTGTGTAGGCAATTAGTGTCACACTTTGTTACCAAGAGAATGTACAATTTATATAACGTTAACGTTTACCAAAACGTTTTTGTATTATAATTAATATTATTAATAAAGTTAACCTGGGCAAAAATATTTAAACATTTAAAATTTAGGTAATTAAAATAATGTTTCAAGTGGTTATTTTTTATAAAATATTTAAAAAATTATATTTTACTAAATGTACACTGTCTTGCAAAATTTCAAAATAAATTTTCAACAGAGCTGGGATATTTTTTTGTTCACCCAAAATCTTTTTTTTTGCCTAATAGCCAATTTTCTGCAGAAAATATTTTTTTATTGAAATTGAAAAAATGGCTTATTTTTTATCATTCAAACTGAATTATTAACACCAATACACAAGATGAACAATTTTTACTTTTTCAATTCTGTTTGCATTCATTCAAAAGATATCTTTGAAAAAGTCAAGAAACAAATCTAACAAAAATATCATTTTCGTAATCTATGTCAAACTTCAACGTCGAAAATCAATACAACCGTACGACCTTACGAAGTTACCCCAATAATCTTAAAAAAATGTTTATAGTTTGTATACATAGTATATATATATATATAAATATATATATATGTATATATAGTACCGACCTTTTGATTTCGCCGGCAGTAAACTAGAAGTTGCTGATACACAGCTTTAATAATTTTGGGTACCACATAAGAAGATCTTCACTTTCACTGTAATTTAAACGGTTTTTAGTCCATATTAAAGGGAGAACTTTCGATTTTTACAGGAAAATTTAACAAAGTGACACTGACATTTTGAGAGCCGGGAAAATAGATTCCTAAAACCAATTTTGTTTTCATAAATTTTTGTATAGAAGTCGTTTTAACAAATATATATATATTAAAATAAAAAATATTTTTTAATACCTATTCAATTAAAACATATGTTTTAATTGAATGGGTATTAAAAAAATATTTTTTATTTTAATGTTCGTCGTAGAAAAAGTATAGTATGCTTCGATCGTGCCTAATAAAAATTCCTGACTAAAATGGCGTTTATCAAAATTGATCCATTTTACATTGGTGCATTATTATACAATAAATTGAAAAATGCAATATTTAAATTCATTTAAGTCCAACTTAAAATTATTTTTGCTTGAGATGCATCGAATTATCATAGTTTTCTTTTTTATATAAGTAATAGTTGGAAAGTTTTAAAAATTAAGGTTAAAACCGTCTGACAGTTGTAAAAAAGTGAGTTTAGAACTATCTGACAGATGTCAGATGTCAAATGTTTAACAAATAAAATTGACTTTAAATTCTGAAAAACATTACGTTGTGTTCGACGTAGATGAAGTATATTAATTTTAATAATAGTGTTTATAAACTTGTTATTATGCGGCAATTAATAATGCAAAGTTTTGTAATTTATATATATAATACACTGTTCAAAATTTCATGACCATTTTAACACCAAATTAACATCATACATGGTGGTATCGATACAAACCAAAATGGTGTTAAATATGGTTCGTTGGTCCAGTGTAAATTCAAATACTAAAATGGTGTAAATTTAACTTTCCCACAGTATTAAAATAAATTTTACCTGGTGTAAATTGAACTCCTTTTCAGTAATTATTATGTGTTTTTGGTCAAATTAAATCATACCACATAGAAAAAAAGGAAAAAAAGGAAACAGGAAGTTCCTTGACGCATTACAAGTATATTACCAGTGGTATTATTCCAGAAAATTGAACCTTTAACTCGCTAGAAATAATGTTTTTTAGTGCCTTTCACCAACTTAAAATACTTCAAGTATTGACAGCTGTTTCCACCTATTCAAGGTCTCTTTAGTATCGAACAACTTGTAGTGTCACACCAAAGCAAAGGACTACCTGAGCTTATATACTCTTTATGTAAGTCAACAGAGGCGCACAGAGAAAAAGAAATAATAACATTAACTGTTACAAGGTAATAGTTACCCTTTAGTGGATTCGTATTCTGCCAAACCTATATGAACTAACAGTCATAATACTACAAGGTATAAAGAAGTACTTAATCTTACCTTTTATTTATTAATAGAAAGGTTTTGAAATATTAATAGTTAAGTCACTTTAATAACTATTAAAATTACCTTGTTATTTTAAATATTGTATTTACTAACTGTTATATTATTTGGTTTTCTATTAGTATTTTATTATAATAATCACATTTTCTGAGTTATCAGTTATTTTTCCATCAGCTAATAGTTAATCTATGAAAGTAAGTATTATGTTAGCATATGATTATGCAAACAGCATGGTTAAAAAGTATAAATACGAAATTTAATTTAACAAATAATACTTATGTACATCCACCAGCATTAAAACAATTTATATAATAATAATGATTAATACTAATATAAACTATTACCTAATTGTTTAGAAAACAACAACAAAAAACCTCATGGTTCAAACGCTTGTTACTTCTATCATGGTGGAAAAACACGATTTCGGCGTATTAATTATGACATATCTCCTATATAGCACAGTTTTTGGAAAAGCAAAACTAGATATTTATAATAAGTAAGTACAAACCCCAAAGTTCTCTAATTCTGGTCTGTCATTATATCAACCTCACCGCATGAGTATTCTCAGTGCACTGAATTAGGCGTACATCATGCCTATCAGCTGTTAATAACTCATTCGCTAATAGTTACCTTTTTACTTTTCGCACAACTCGGTTATAATGATAGTTATAATTCATCTCCTAAAAGTTAATTTTTGATTGATATTATAAAGAATATTATATTTTAGCAATAACATTCAAATGCTGATAATTATTGCAACTTAAACTTAATATCAGCATACCAAGGTGTAAGTTTATTTATCATAAAATAACAGTTACCCATTTATATTATAATTTATAATATTTTCCTAAATATTTGTAACAAACTGAGTATATTAACAACAAACCTACATCCACTAACATTAAATCAATAGCCTTTAACTTATCCCAGGTTACTATTAAGAAAACCACATTCTTTTATTTAGAATACAATTTTTAAAATAATTTTAGTAATATATTTAGTATATTGCTATACTGTATGTTAGCATATATGCCTTAAACTTATATTTATTAACTATTAATCAAATTTTTCTTTCTGTGCGAGATTTAAGAACATCACGTGATCTACACCGCCTTTGCCGCGATCGGTACACACTATGCAACCAGGAACCATAATTCATGGTGTTTATATTAACACCACCTGGTGTTGGATTTTGACACCATTTTAGGATTACTCTTTACACCACAGATATTTTAAACAGTGTATTATTCTATTAAAACTTATCTATATATGTATGTACCTGCTATTAAACTTGTAATGTAATATATTTTTTTTATTTCAGCACATCAAAGTACGGATTTGTTAGAAGATTGTCAAAAATTGTTGGAAAGGTTCAAGTATCCTTGGGAGATGATGCCTTTGATGTACGCGATTTTAAAAGATGCCCGAGCCGACCTGGAGGAGGCATCCCGGCGGATTGACGAAGGTAATGAGTTTAATATGTTTAAACTTTTAAATTATTAATAATTAATTAGCTATAAATATTTTTTGTATCTAAATTTAAAAATTGTAAATATTGTAATGATTATTAAAATAAATGGTTATTTTTTAAATGTTAAGTGTGACTTGATTATAAATTGATCCATTAAATTTGTTTAATTAAAAAAATATATATTTTTATATAGTTAGTATAGTTAGTTTATAAACATTAGAATGTGCATATTTTATGGTTTAAGGCATAATAAGATATATTATGTAAATTAGTTTTTTAGTGATACAACTCAGGAAAATGTTTGTGATCTTAATGATAAAATAAAAATTATTGTAAAAGAATAACTATTTTAATGACTGTAAATTAATATTTATATACGTATTATTTACATTTATAAATTTTAACTGCTTTTGATAATAAATCTTTGACATAATATTGACGGTTATTTGTTAATTTATTATTTTAGTTATATTAATTTGTAAAATTATTAATAAAATATTGTTATTAAACTTGCCTTATAATTTGCTAACGTTCATAAAACCTTTTTTATATCTCTAGTGCTGTAAAGTCATCAACGTAACAAAAATAACACCAACTCTTTTCAAAAATAATATCAATGGTAACTGGAATTTTAAACAAAAAGCATATTTGTGGCAAAATTTGTTTTCAAAATCGTCAGGTTTTTAAATTTGAAATAGATTTTTTATTTATAGAGTAAGTACCATTAATAATAAAAATGCGTGTAATACCCGTGTTTACCTAAATAGACTTTATCGCGCATGCGAATTTTCGTCGCTTATGCAATAAAGTCTTTCTCATACACTTGTATTATAATTTACTACTAGTATTACTGATCCCTTGCGCCTTTAATATACTAAATTGATGCCTATTTTATAAAAATTTAATTTATAATAAGCTTTTAAGATTGTTCAATAATTATTCTAGTTATTCTTATTTTCCTTTTAATTAAATAAATATTTCCTGAGTTGTAAAACACCTTGTACTATACAGGTTGTCCTGAAAATGGTTCACCACACCACGCGAAGTATTTTAGGCATAACAATACATTTTTTGAAATGTAATTTTCGAGTTTTCAAGCATTTAAGTTTAAAAAACTTGGCACTGCTTTGTGCTAAATGTGAAGAAAATTTCGATATCCAAAAATGATTCTTACAAAACACTTCAAGCCGTTTTTTTGACAGTAATTGTCAATAAATTAAAACTTCTCTTAAAATTGTGTTTTGAGTAAATTTTCTTAAAAAATTTAAATACAAATGTTATAAACTTTATAATTCCAAAATTACATGTCGGAAAAGAATATGCGTGGTATGACCGGGTATGCAAACTATAGTGCGCCATTTCGGGATACCCTATATAATAATTGTATCTGTTAATTAATTTAATTTTTAATTTTAATAAAAAAAGGAAAATGTTTAAGTCATTGACACAAAAAAGCTCGACAATAATGGTTATAGTGTATATAGTGGTGAATGTGAATGTGAACAAAATTTTAATTGATAAATCAACACAACAAATTTTGTTTGGATGTATTGAAATACTTTTGTAGGACAAAAAAGATTTTGAAAGTTTAACTTGACTTCAAAGGGTATGGCCTTCGAAGTTTGCCAATAAGACATATTTATTTCAATGTAGTAATGTAGTAATGTAGAAAAAATTAAATGGATGATTTAAATTATCTAAATGTAAAAAGTAAGGTTTAAAGATAAACTTTAATCAAAGTTCTATGATTTATTGACAAATACTAGTAAAATAGATTAATACAGACTACGACTATGGCTGTATAAAGATTATTATAAATTAATCTGCGTGTCAGTTTTAAACTGCCATAACTTTTAAAGTTTAACTAACCTAAAACACTATTGGAAGTTTGCTCTTTAATACTAGTAGTACTAGTCTAGTACTATCGACCGCATCCAAGATTGTTGCAAAGTTTTATTCGTGTTTTAAATAAAATTTCAGTGATTTTCTTTTATTCAATTTATGTTGAAATTAATTAGGTATTAACAAATCCATTTAATAATAATAATAACTTTTTTAATCAAACATAATATAGAGTGGGGTTTCTTATTATAAGAGATGGTAGTAATTTCTTCCAAATCTAGTTATACAAACATCCAGAATGACGTGAATATATGCTATTGGTACTATATTTTTTCGATTAATCTACAGGAAATTTGTTATACTCTGCGAAAAATGGCTATTTTAAATGATTTTGTTTTAAAATTTATAATATAAAATAAAGAATTGAACCATCAACCAACCAAAGTTTTGTTTTGAGCGCGTTACATCAACTTTAAGTACTGACAAACAGCTGTTTATATACAGCAATATATATCCATCCGAAGTAAGCCAACAATGGCGAGATGTTGGGAAGTCACGTTAAAATATATGAGATGTTTGATGAACAAATTTTAACTTTTAAAATCGCCTTTTTTACGGGGTATAAATAAAAAAAGTATCAACATCAAATATACGAAAAATACGAAACTAAAGAAGGGTCAGTTAAACATCAAATCCTTACAATCTTCGAAATTGGAGGAAATTTCTACTGTCCCTAAAAATATGGCAACCCACTGTAAATACACGTCTTTCTTAATTACAAAATAAATCTAATTTTTAATAGTGAACATTTAAAAATATTTAAAACCCATTTACTCAATAAATTAAAAAAATAGATACGCAGTTATGTCAGTTTGTAATTAAAATTATTGGAGTAATTAACTTTTTCAGTGATTTTTATAATATATTTTATTAATATTTTTAATCTATTTTAATGAGACCATACGTACTACGTAACGTTAATAGCTTGTTTAATAGTGTAAAAAATCTATATTTGAAACCATGAATTTTTTTATGACAATATAATTCATTAATATTAGAACCAATAAAATGCCAGTATTCCATAGTGACGTATTTTATCACAGCGGCAATAATTTTTATCATCTTGTTTACACGTTACTATGAACTTTGACGTTTTTTTGATTTGACATTTGTTGTCATTTAAATACTGTGTTTGTTACCTAAATGATTAAAATAATGAATTATAAACTCTAAAAGATCGATGGGGTTGGTGTAAACGATAATAAAATTAAGGTAAGTTTGAATAAATAAGGTTTATTAAAGTCTTTTTATATTTTAAAGCACATTTTAATTTCAAATGTCAAACTAAAAATTCGTTAAATCCTAAAATTCATTATATTTTCTCACTAAATATAACTCGTGGTATGATTAATTATCGATGATATTTACTCATTAAAACCGAAGCAGCACATTTCACTCGTCCTGCGGACTCGTGAAATCTGCAGCTCGGTTTCAATTCGAAAATATCATCGATGATAATCATACCACTAGTTATATTATGGGTGAAAATAGTATGCATTACATATATAGTCAAATATTATTACTAATTGGCTTAAAATAATAAATATAGTATAGTTCTATGGCTCAAACATTTTCCTTTTTACTACGGTCCTTAAAATAAAAACTGTATATGTATTTAAACAATATATAAGGACCACCACAGTGCATTTTAGGTGTTTGGGGTATTTTCGATTTTTTTTTCACAATAGCCCTAAATCGGTTCCTAATAAATAAAAAAAGTCCAAGTTTCAGTTCTTAATAATAAATTTTTCAATGGGAAAACATGTCTTTTTTAAGATCAAACTTTGAATTTTTATAACTTTATAATTAACGAAACAAATTAAAACTAACCAGCCCCACGTAAATTTACTTATATTATATCATTGATATGAAGATTTAAGCGAGAAACAAAATGTATTTATTATAATAATTATTTGAGAAATTATTAGTCGTGCCTATAAAAAAAAGAATCTTTCCTGTGATTTTTTTGGAATCAAACCCCCAAAATTTATTTTAAAATAAACATATATATGTATTCCCTTTGAAAATTTGGACTACCACTTGGGGCCAGGTTAATAAATTTATTAATTTATTATTTAATAATTTTAAAAGCTAAAACTCGGCAGGATTTTTTTATTTATTTGGAACCGATTTAGGTTTATCGTGAAATAAATTGAAAATACTCCAAATAAGGACACAGGGTGGTCCAAAATCAACCTTTAATAATTTGAGAATTAATAAAAAATGTTTAAATAATATTAATTTTCTTAATAAACTTATATCGAATTCTCAACAGTTTCGGAAATACAACGTGTTAAAGTCGCATTTATACTTTAACATATTTGATCGAAATTTGGTGTGTATTGTTTATTTATTGGGTAAAATAGTTAGGCATTAAATTCGTTTTCATACTACAAGCAGCGTCATTACCGACAAAATTTTAAGAAAAAAAAGTCCTCTGGAAGTTTTTCCATATATGGAAATTGTATTGTAATATTGTAATATTGTATACAATGTATCATCATCTCACAGTAAAATTGCAATTCCAATTCACTGTAATTAAATTTTAAAATATGCCATTTAATTTTTTTATCAAAGTTTGTGGTCAATATTTCGAGGAACTCCTTTAATGATTTAAATTAGGTTTTTGTGCTAACAAAATGTTTTGTAGGTTTAATTGTTTTTCTTTTGTAAAATATTTTTAGTGTTATTTGGTTTAAATTTGGATATAAATTACTAAGAATGAATTTATTGAGTAAAATTTTACGTTTTACCTTTTCTTAAATCTTCTGTTGATTTCAGAAATGTAAAAAAATTATCATATTATTGGCGTACTTTTTATTGTCTAAAAATACCAAATTAAACAGCATATATGGGAAATACTGTACTTTTCGTAAATTGACCGTGTATTTTAAAAATTTAGAAATTTTTTTCAGATTATTGGTACTGCTATTATATATACTATAAAATCGTTTTTATACTATAGTATAAAAACAATTTAATTTCCTAAATATTTTACCTTTAGGTAAATGGTTTATTTATTATAATAAATAAACAGTACCTACTCACCAAATTTTTTTCAAAAAAATATATTCAACTTCAACACCTTGTATTTCTGAAACTGTTGAGTTTTCGATATAAGTTTATTAATAAAATTAATATTATTTTTAGGTTTTTTATTGATTCTCAAATTATTAATTGTTCCTTTTGGACCACCATAGTTGATGAAATTTCTTAAATAAATTACCTAACTGAGGTATATTAAAATAGATAAAGTACCTATATTAATATAGAATCTATATAAAAAAGGTATTTATCTATATTATAGATTAGGGTGGCCCAAAAAAATAAGAATATTTTTTTTCTCTTGTCTCTTGTGAAAATATGTTGGTTTGTCATGTTTTAAGAGCCCTGTCAACAGATCAGCTCCATTAAACATTTTTTAGGGGTCGCTCAAGATTTTTAAAAATTTCCAAAATCGTCAAAAATTGGATTTTTTTTTTATTTTAATTTTTTTTCTCGTTCCGATATTATTTTTAAATTTAAAAATAATAATGATTCTGAAAATTTCAAATGGATATTTTGATTTCTAAAGGTCGCTCAAGATTTTTTTAACTTTCAAAGTAGAATATTTTGAATGTTTTCGAGCGACCTCTGAATATAAATGCCAACGAACTTTTAGCGACCTTTAGAAATTAAAATATTGATTTGATATTTTCAAATATTTTATTATTTTCTACCAAAAAAATAATATCGAGACAAGAAAAAAAATTAAAATAATACAAAAATTCAATTTTTGACGATTTTGAAAATTTTAAAAAATCTTGAGCGAACCCTACAAATTTTTTAATCAAGCTGATATTTTGACAGGGCTCTTATAAGTAAGGCCCGGATTTTAGGTAAAACACCTTTTGTTGGTTTTTTAGGTTTTAAATATATTTTTTTGTATTTGCCCGTTTTATAAAAAATGGAGTCATCTGACTAAGTTTTATTTGACCTAAAATACCTTTTTTATATTTTTTTCACCTATTTTCCTTTTTTGCACCTAAATTGTATTTTTAATACCTAAAATGAACTTTTTTTACCCGTCCTGTGACGTTGAACGATCATTCTCTTGGTTTAAAAATGTTTTGACTGATAAACGCACTAGCTTTACTTCTGAAAACTTGGAGAAATATTTTGTCTGTCATGCATATAATCGTTAAATAAATTAATAATTTTTTTTTTTTATTTTAGAGTTCCTATTTTGTTTTTTTTTGTAATTTTAGAGTTCCTATTATGTTTTTTTTGCTATTTTACATTATTTGTGATATGATATATTTACTTTTTTAAAGAATCTTTTATTTTATTTGTAATTTTTTCAACCAAACATTTTGTTCAGTTAATGTTAATAATAAATATTATTTTAATAACTATTTCATTTTTAATATAAATCCTTTATTGCCGGACAACAGAGCAATTATAATGTAACTAAAACTACATAAGACCTATGTATGGTTTTACAACGATATCGACATTGTAATGAAAACATTTTATTTCAATAAATCAGCTTATTATTTTTTTATTTAAGTACCTAAAATGTAGGCACCTAAAATAATAACCCAATTTTATAACTATGTGACCTATTTTTTTATTTTTTTTTTTACTTTTTTATAACCTAAAAATACGGGCCAACCAATATTAACTTTTTAATTAAGTACCTAAAATATAGGTACCTAAAATAATAACCTATTTTATTAAAAATATCACCTAATTTAGGAACCTTTTATCAATTTTTTATGACCTAAAAATCCGGGCCTTACTTATAAGCATGATAATCTAACATATTTTTACAATAGACGAGAAAAAAAAGATATTCTTTTTTTTGGGGCCACCCTATTATAGATAAATACCTTTTTTATCCTTTAAGCCTTATGTATGAAAAAAAATTAATTAAAATAAATTTAATAAACTTATAATTAAATATCTAACCTTTGGCTTAATTTAGGAAAACGAGTGGTGAACGAATACTCGAGGATGCACAATTTAAATATGTACGACGGTGGAGAGCTTCGAAATTCAACGCGTCAGTATGGATGATTAAAAAATTAAATTTCACCCAAAATTGTTGATTTAGATTGCTTTTAGTCTATTGCTTTTTGCCTTTGCATTAAATTTAATTTTAAGAAAAATTTTGGGTGTTCAATTCCTAACATTTCCTATTTGTAATGCATGTTCGTTTTTTTATAAATATAGATACGAAGACCCAAGATCGAAGATCCTTCAACAATTCAACGTACAAGGCGGTTAACGTTCAGTTCAAATGCAACTTGCTCATATAATTTAACGTCACCAACATCAGCAGAACACCAACGCATCGTCATAATCTTTGATCACAAATACAAACTGTACCAAATATTTATTATTAATAGTATTATTTATGAAAGTATTTTAAGTATTAAAATAACATAGGACAATATTTATTGATCACGCACAGTCACATCAAAGAATGAAGAAGATTCCGAATTACCTAGAAGTATTGAAGACAGAAAAAAAATCATTATCATCAACACTGAAGATATAGCTGTATTTTTATGAATATTTTATAAATAATATTTCCTTAGTAAAATTTAGTAAAAATAGTGTTCTTGAAAAGAATATTTTAAAGTAATCTTTATAAGTAAGGTATATTTTTAATGTAAAATTTATGTCATCAACGAAAAGTTTGTCTCCTAAGAAATGTTCAAGAGTTGCACAAATTTAGTGTCGCAGAACATTTACATCTAGATGTGGTAAGTTCGTTTACTGTTTTTAGGTTTCGGCAGAAGTTTAAATAATTTAATTTCAATTGTATATCACACACACATTTATTTATAGTTTATACGATAATCCTAAAATCGTAAAAATTCTAGATGTGTTTTTGTTGCAAACGATTTTTTTTTTAATTTCAAGCTCATGAATTTAATTTTGTTTAATTACTTTTTATAATTCTACCTAATAATAACTTTTATCCACTCCTATGGCAAAATATGTTTTTTTTATATACAGGGTGAGTCATTTAACTTGAAACTTTGAAATATCTCAGTTAGCATATATGCATTTTACGAAAAAATGTTTAAAATAAAAATTAAATCATTCGAATTCGAGGGGGAAATCAATCAGTACTAAAATTGATCCTTATACTCTCCTCCTTATAAAATTTCCAACGGAACACCCCTTTTTTTGCATATTCGGATCATTCGACTAAAAATAGGTAGATTTTGTCTAAAACATTTTTTCATATTTGTAATAGATGGCGCTTTAATAAATAAAAATCAATTTTGTTCGATTTTTCTTGTGTACGATTCTCCAATAATTTTTAAATTTATTTATTTTTTAAATTTTAATTAAAGTAGGTGCTCAAAATGGTGGCGACTTCAATGCATTTATTGATTCACATTTCGTTTTAATATTCTGCTAACACTGCTCTGGGATATTCCCAAATCTCTAGATAATTCTCATGTGCTTGCATGAGGATTAGCGGCTGTTGCTGCTACATTAATTTCATTGTTTCCACCTGTGACTGTTGCTCGACGGACTCTTTTTTTCGGTCGAACACTCCCGTTTTTAGTAAACTGCTTGACTGTACGGTGAAATGAAGTACTTGATCGAATTTTATCCGAAAAACGTTAAGCGTAGATATTAACAGCATCATCAAGATTCTTGCCTGCTTCTCCATAAATCAAAATCCATTATGAATAACTGCTTAACGAAAGCAGGTCTTTTTGTTTGCAAATTAATCTTCGAACTAAATTGATTAAATAATGCTAAACTATAAATAGTTTCTTTATACCTCAATAATAATTATTATTTATAAATAAATACCATTTTTTATACCTCAATTAGGATTAAATTAAGTTAAAAAATGGTGGTAATTAAAAAAAATCAGATTTAATTTAATAAGATAATTATTACCAAAAAAGTGATATTTTTATAGAAAAATTATTGCAGAATCGTATACAGAAGAAAAATCGAACAAAATTGATTTTTTTTCATTACAGCGCCATATATTAAAAAAGTGTTTTAGACAAAATCTAACTATTTTTAGTCGAATGATCCGAATCTATTTTCTTAAGCACAGCTATATAAAAATAAAATTTGATTTTGCTTGTCAAATAAAGTAATACATTTTTGTAACGAAGGTGTTTTGGAGACACCTCCGTTTATCTCTAAAAAATACTTTAATGCTCAGTTTGTTTCTGGAACCTACTATAGTTTGTGCAATAATTCACAATACATTCTTGTTTAATATCATATATTATATACTAGTATACTATCCTTAATTTATTATTAAATCTTCAATTTATACCAATTACCGGAAATATGACTTCTAGCACTTTTTTTTAATTTTTAATCAATGAAAACTAAAAATATACTTAACAAAGTGTAATAAGAGTAAGAATATAAACAAAATATTGTACTACCGCATAAAAATACTTTTTTTAAGCGGCCATTATATACAACCTTAATGCATGTATATATATAGAGATAGTTGAAGTGCGTATTTTTCATTAGCGGCAGACAAAAAACTCAAAAAAGCCTATGGATAAAAGTAAATCCATAGGTGACTCAATAGACGTCAAATAATAAAATTAATTTATCATTTCATACAAAGCAATCACGATTATTAATTAAATTAATTATAATCGCACGGAATATTTAGTGATTATTTATTAAATTTTAATTGAACGAAATAAAAAAACAACTAGTTTATTAGTATAATATAATGATGATAGACTAGTCGCCAATGTCGAAACTCCAAACAAATGTCAGTACGTCAAAATTAATTCAAGCGCAGAATTTTGACAGAGCAGTGTTTATTTTTAGTTTAGGATATTTATAAGTTTTTTTAGTTTTTATCAATTCTATTCTATTATATTCTTATCCTATTTATATTACGCCCTTGACAAAAAAATAGTGTATGTTATTTGGAGTAGAAGCTCTTTTTGTGCTTCGTACAGTTGCCTGCCTCAGCTACGCTTCGGCCGTCAATCTCTGTACCACAAAAAGAGTCACTATGACATAATCTACTATTTCGAGCGATTATCAAATATTGAGTAACCTACAAAGTCATTTTTTTATTTTACTATGGCAATACAAATTAAAGCCAATGCCAAAGCTTTGTATCTTTATCAAAAGCAGCCCTCGGTGGTACTTAAGTAGTCTGCACTGCAGACTACAAGCCGAGAGGTCGTGAATTCGAATCCCACATGATGTATGTGTTTATTTGTGTGTGTCAGTGTACTCCTCTTATTAGAACATTAAAATAATAAAATAAAATAAATAATAAATAAAAAGTTAGAAATTTTTTACACCCTGTAATTTAAAAATCCGTAAAGCATGAATCAAATGAAAAAACTTTTATTTTTTTACCAAAAAATCCACTGTTAAATTTTCTACCAACGTTTCTTGTACACCCTGTATAGAGTAGCCTCTAAAAATACAGTGTTAAGCTTAATTTTCATGTATCCGTTTGTCCGTTAGTCCGATCATCCGGGAGCGCTCTTATTGGTCCAATATAATTAAAAAATTATGACATGTTATCGGTCCGTCAAGTTTTAACTTCGTACGTCTGACGGAGAAAGTTAAAATAATTTTAATTCATCCGTCAATACACATCTGTTTTAAAATAATTCATTTTCAAATCTTTTAATATTATTTAAATTATGATTCTAAAACGGAGTAATTACGTTTGTTATGTAATATGTTATGTCTTTATTTAATAAGAAGAACGGAAAAAAGAGAAGATAAACAAAAAATATTAAAACCAGAACTAAAAGGACGTTTTAATGTATATTAAGGCTAGTTTATTCTTTTTATATAGTATATTTACCTACCTTTAAATTTATAAGACAGATAACTGTTAAAGTTGTTGATATAATTATAACTATGTCAATGAAGCATTAGGTAAATTTAGTGAAGTGAATAAAATGGCCCTTAATTTCTATTTGTCGCCAAATCAATCCTTTAAACGTCATTAAAAAACGGATGCATGACAATTAGAACATTTCTTGTCGGACCATTTTATTGAAAAGCGGACACACGGATAACGGACAAACGGATACATGAAAATTAAGCTTTAGTCATTAATTTTAAGAAGTTTAAAACTAAAATCATTTAAATAAATCCATAATATAATTATTAGTTTTTTTTCGTATTAATAAATTAAAAAATATTTTTTATGACCAATTTTGTTTTACCAAATTTGATATAAAAATTTTAAAATATATTATTTGAAGATTTCTAATGATAATTTACTGGTGCCAAAACCTAATAATAAAAAAGTTTTTTCATAATTTTAAAAAAATTTAGAAAAATTATTTTAAAATTTGAAAACTTTTTATGAAAAGAAAAAATTTACATTTGATTTGACGACGTAAAAGAGCATACAATTTGCTATCAAAACATTTTTTACATTTAATATACCGGGGATCTTCAACAAAAAAAGCGTCTATAGGTGTCATAATCCAAAAAAATAATTAAAGTGGGTTCCTTTTAGGTATGACATACATAGGTATCCAAACAATATAAGTAAACTTTAGTTTTGTTGCCTGCTAGTCGTGAAATATAATAATATATTATATATATTATATACATACATATAATATTGTAGTGTAGGCTACTTTTTATGTGTTTTTGGTGATAGGACTTAATTTTAAGATTTTAATAATCTGTTAAAATGAATGCCTTAACCCTATATATTTTCCAGTTTTTTCTAAAGAATAAATATTTTGGATACCTAAAAAATCCCATTTGAATTTAAATTGTTTAGTTAAATTTTTGCAAACAATTAATCTTTTAGATAAGTAGGTAATCCTTTTAGATTATCAAATTAAAAATGATAACACTATAAAACTTGTAAATTACAAGTCACATCGGTAAATAAAAAATCAATTCAATAAGGAAAGAATAAATCTAATTATAATAGTACAGTATAACTTTAAGTTTTACTTTCACTGTTTTAATTTAGAATCTATTATTAAGTGTAGGTATTTAAAATTTAAATGTTTACGGCATGCCGCTGACATTGTTATACATAATTTAAAATTATTAATTTTGTATATCAATAAATTTCAATATAATTCATTAAATAACTGATGTCAATGAATTCAATTCAATTGCATTATGTAATTTAAATAGGCAATTTTTGAGGTCAAGTTTAAGGACATGA